TCTTCAGTTTCCTGGCAGAGGGGAAAGAGAAAGTTGCAAGCCGAGACCTCCACAAAGTGATTTCTATTCCAGTGCCTATGAGGTGACATCTTGATAATTCAAATCCTCCTTTCTCTTTATGATGCACAACGGATGGCCTTCCAGATGTGCTAGCAATAGACTGACTGTTTGTCCTAGTTGGGCCACCCTTAATCCAAAAGCAGCAACTGTTACATCAATTAACCCATTCGCCCCAGATTTATGTTCTGTCCTCTGTAGTTTTTGGTGAATTTTCTCACATACAGATGGCTCCACATGTGCTCAGCCGGCAAGGAGTCTATCAGTAGGCCCTAGTTACCGACCCTGATTCTCCCCTTCATTGAATTGGCGGTAAAATTTATACCAATGCTATCGATACTGTTATTACTGTTACTGATGCTGTGATGATTAAATAGGCATTAGAATATTTTAGACAATGAAATGATACAAAAATCTCTTTCCTAAAGTGAAGGAAAAGGGTAAACAGGTAAAATGGGTAGTTCTTGATAACTGGCTATTTGGTGATTAAGAACATGTGGAGCCATCTATGTATAAATACAATAAATAAACGTGTCTCAAAGTGGGTATGGCATCTATTCTTGCCACGTGTGGCGAATGGGTTAAGTGTTCTGAATGCCCCCCAAAGCCATCCTATCAATGACTTTTGTGCCTCCAAAGCCATATAGTCTGTGTCTAAGGTGCTCGTAGTCAATCAGCTAGTAATGTGGATGCTTTAAAAGCCAACCAGGCAGGATACTTTTGAGTAAGCCCGTCAGTAATGTGGATACTTCTACAGGAAGCCAATTAGTGATCTGATTCCAAGGTTAGCCAATCAATAACATGAATTACTTTCAAAGCCAACCAATCATTTACCAAGTAAAAGTGCAATGCTACGCTCATTCATAGCCCTTATAAATCCACACCATTATAAAAAGTGTCAACATCCTGGGGGCAATATAATACAACTCCATCCATAACAGAACACCAATAAGAGATTATGCTGGTAACTTTGGAAAATACAATAATGATATATCCTGGAGTGAAAACTGAAATCATGATAAAATGAATTAATCTTAAAAATCCTTATGCACAAGTGGCCAACAAAACTACACTGAATATTATGATACAAAGAATTCTCAAAACCTGAAATGCTTGGATTATTTTCCTCGCAAACCTATGACTCTGATATCTAAAACTTAATACTTCTTGACTGTGTATTACTGAATTCTGCCCATTCTGTAACAGAAGTACAATTTGATGATATATTTTGTATTACTATTATTATCATTATCATCATTATTACCATTATCTTTATTATTATTTTGATCATTATGATCATTCATATTCTTATCATTATCATTATCATTATCAGTAACATCATAACCTTTATCATTAAAATTATCATTATCTTTATCATTATAACTATCATTATTATTATCACAATTATCAAAATAATAAATATCATTATCCCTATTATTATCATTATTATCATGATCACTATCATTACCACCATTATTATCATACCATATAATTATCATTCTCATTATCATCATCATTACAATATAACTATTACATCATTATTACCATCATTAATATAATTATATTATAATAATGACCACAATAATATGGTGATTTTTTTATTATATATATCACTATGATCATCTATACAGACATCAACCTCACTGAAATAAAAAAAAGTGGTCTCTTGGAAGTGGTAAACTTCTGAGTGAACAGTTCTTGGTATACACTGATAAGGCAGGGATTTGCATATATATTATGGGGACACTTTCTTACCTGTTGTAAGGGGTAAAAGGAGGGGGTATCATGAGGGGGGGGTAATTTTATTTTATTTTATTTTATTTTATTTTATTTTATTTTATTTTATATATATATATTTTTTTTTTTTCTTCTTTTTTTTTTTACACTAAGTTGTCAAATGATGCATTTGGTAAGATTGTGGGTTTCATGTTTTCACTTTCACAAAAGAAAAAAAGATGAATATCAAATCTTATCAATTTTGTACTTGCACATGTATTGAGTGAGTGAATATACAAGCAAATAAGTCTAAAGGTATGTAATTCTTATCCAAAACTTAAAATAATATGAGTATGCTTCCAATGTGACAAGAAAACACAATTACTAAACAATACAAATACATAGATACTTACATACATACACAAATAAATAAAAAACTCTGATAAAATGGCAAGGAGGACTAACACTATAAAGGACACATTATCACATAGATGAATATACATACAAATTAACTAAAGTCCATTTTACCTTAAAACTCTTAATAATAAAAACTAACTCTTCTTGTGTCATTAAAATACAATATTGGATTTCTATCCCAGTACAGGAGATTCCGAAAACAGAAATGAGTGAACACTGTATTCGTATTGATGTTTCTATGTATATATACATTTCTTTATATGTACCTGAGAATATATGTATATTCTCTCTCTCTCTCTCTCTCATCCTC